AGCAGCAATAAGCACAACATGCTTATTCAACATTTGCTGAATATGACAGCAAATTTTCCTCCTTTGTTTCCCTGCTGGGTGAGGAGGCTCACAAGTCCCCTGTGCACTTCCACACAATGGGAACCTCCACAACACCTTGACAGCAGCAAAGGAAAATGCAGCACAYTTACAAAGCACAGTCTCTCAGTGCACAAATACTGCAAGGCAAACCTCCCAAATATTAGAAACCACAGGCAAGGCACAGGCTGTACTAAAACTGRCAGGCATGAACACAGCTGAAGGGAGGGCAGTAGGGAAGAGGAAGAAAACAAATAGGAAATGCCATACTCAAAAGAATTCGGCATAAACTCTGAGTAAATCAAAGCAAGGAAAAGCTTCTGAACCCACTTGAATTTTAGCTGCTGAAGCCTCCTGGCTACTTGGCTGYTCTGCCTGTGCAATGCTATGCTTAATTTGCCCCACTGGATTTGCACCTCCTGTGAGTGACTGAGAGGAGCCATTGACTCCGGGAGGACTGATTTAGTGCAGCAGGAACCGGCGGCCTGGCAGAGGCTGCGGGAGAGGCCCAGCCCAAGGTAGGTAAACACAGTCGTGGTTTAACCCGGCAGGCAGCTCAACACCACAGAGCCACTCACGGACTGCAGCGGGGCAGGGGAGGGAGTTGGGAAAAACAGAACAACTCATGGGCTTGGGTAGAGACAGTTTAATAGAACAGAAAAGGATGGAATAATAATAATAATGATAAAAGTAATGGAATATACAAAACAAGTGATGCCCAATGTGGTTTCCCACCACCCCTGAGCAGTGTCCAGTCCATTCCCAAGCAGTGGCCCCTGGCCAGCTTCCCCCCCAGTTTATATACTGACCGTGTGTCATGTGATATGGAATGTCCCRTAGCCCAGTTGGGATCAGCTGTTCCTGCTCTGTCTTCTCCCAGCTTCTTCTGCTTCCCAGCCTCACTGGTGGGGTGGGGGGAGGAGCTGAAAAGTTTTCAACTTAGGGTAGAAACAGTATGCTATCAACATTCTTCTCATCCTAAATCCAAAACACAGCAATGTACCAGCTACTAGGAAGAATATCGACTTTATCCCAGCCAAAACCAGGACATACCAGAAGAGGGAAGGACGCAGGGAAAAGACTGGAACAGGAATAAAGAGAAGAAAGAGTAGGAGAGATGGAAGAAACACGCAGCAATGGGTCAGCAAAAGAAAAAGAGAATGAGAAAGAGGAAATTAAACACAGTACCAAAAAAGGGCTGGATGCTGGATYTAGTAAGATCTTTCTCCCAAGTCCACGTGGTTGTAAACCTCTGGTGTGCTCTGTTTGGTGCTGGATACTGTCCATGGGAGCACCAGCACCTGGGGGAGCCTCAGTCACTGAGCGCAGCTGTGAAAAAMCGATGTTGGGTGGAGGGAAATTAGGCCAGTTATTTTTTCTTAATTTGTTTCTCTGGAAAGTMATTTCCCTGGAGAGACACAGGCCTGTGGAAATGACAGGATATACTTCAGTAAATTTGTAATAGCTGCTACATAAGCCAACAGTTTCAAATTCCTGCTTAGCATTAGCCAAGGTCCCAGTGATTCCCTACAGCACAAAACGTGAGAAACCAATAAAATACTCTTTGTGACATGAAGCAGGGGATATTTCCCAGTTCACTTAGGCCAACAAAGGTCTGGAACAGTGCATTACACTGAACAAAATCKAAAAAAGGAAGATACTCCAAACTTCTTCCTGTTTCCTGATGTACATCCAGGACATGCAGGCGCAACCTGGAGCGTAAATGCTGGGTCATGGTTTAAGASAGGGAAGTGTGTGCAGGGAAAGGGTCAGAGGCTAATCTGAACTCCAGAGAAACTCAACGTATCTCAAGTGTTGTCAACCACTTGACAGGTTTGTTGAAAGGTTCTTCAAAGCTTTCGAAGTGACCTTTTCTTGAGCAAATGTAGGTTCAGTTACAGTTTCCCATCAAAGTTGTGTGAATGTGTGGYAAGACATGAAACCAGGTGAGAAAAGGTGCTATTCATTGACTTTTCCCATGGCATTTGCTGAACGTTGTGGAAGTCATAGATCAAAGCAATGTCCTTGAATTAGATGTAATTAAACAAACAAGTGTTTGCATAAATGCCTAAAAAGCAAAACTGGCCAATTTACATACAAAATGGTGCGTTAACTTCTTCATTTTCAAAATTTTTGATTTTTTKGGAAAGTTTTCATTATTCAAGGTGTTGAATCAGATATGTTTTCCCCCTCATCATAATGATGCTGCATAAATAATCATCCTGGGGAAAAGGTACCAGTCAGATCCCCCATCTAAAAAGTACTTAGGATTTTCAAACCTAAAGTACCATAGAAAAACCCATACACCTGTAAAACCAAGGGAAGACCAACACAGTGGATAGCTTGGAATCCAGAAATGGGACAGAGCCCTGCTCCTTCTTGTCACCAGCTGGGGCTCAGCTAAATCACTAGGGATAGAAAGTCATTACTGCCATTACTGGCAACCATCAAAGCTTATCGGTGGTCTCTCTAAAATTCTTGATGGACACATAAAATAACTCCTGTCATCAGAAATGGCACTACATGGTATAAATGGGCAGTCTCCAGAGACAGCTGCATATGACTAAGGACAGGTTTTCCCTGTCAGCTGTTGTCCTTTCTGGTCAAATTTTGATGCACACAASTAATGAATGAAATCACCGCTGCTTTCTGAAGCGCAAGTTCTGGGCAAAGAGTGTCTGGAGCTTCCATCTCAACACCTTTCCCAACCCCCCAAACCACCACAAAGTAAAACATTCATTTTGCTGGAATGAAAAGAAAAYCATGAAGACAAGAAATTGAGGAGGGAAAACCCCTACAACGGGAGCTCTCCATCAGGCCTGGCCTGGGAAGGSGCCTGGCCACCGCCGCGGGGAGGGTGGGCAGTGCTGAGGACACGAACCCCTCTGCCGGCCCGGCCAGCGCCGCGGGGACATCCCTGAGGAGGAGGAGGAGGAGTGGGGACACCCCTGAGAAGGAGGAGGAGAAGTGGGGACATCCCTGAGGAGGAGGAAGAGAAGTGGGGACACCCCTGAGGAGGAGGAGGAGTTCAGGGCAGCGGCATCACTGTCCCCGGCGGGACACCCACGGCACCGCCCCGTCCCCGGGGTCACGGCATCCATCCCTGGCAGGGAGAGGCCGCCCCGTCCCACAGCGCCCACCCCGCCTCGCCCTATCCCACCCCGCCTCGCCCTATCCCACCCCGCCTCGCCCTATCCCACCCGTCCAGGCCGGCCGGGCCCCGGAGCGGCGGTGCCGCTGCCCGCCCCGAGCTCCCGCGGAGCCCCTGAGGGACTGGGGGGCCCAGCCGGGCTGTCCTCACGGCCCCGCGGCCCCGGGGCTGGCCCGGCAGCGGCAGCAGGTGTGCGATGGCGAGTGGACACCACCGGCGCTGCCGCCCGGGCTCCCACAGAGCCCCCGCCGTCCCAGACAGCAACCCAGACCCCGCTCATCTGTCCCGGCAGGGTCTCATCGTYCCCGCTGCTGCGGGAAAGCACCGGGAACAGCACACGGGCCCGCGGCTCCGGGAGCGGCACTTACCGGAGCCCGGCGCACCGTCCTTTCTGTCACCCTTTCGCCGCGGCACTGAGGMGAGACGAGCGGGCTCGGCTCCTCCGAGCGGCGGGGCTGCGGCCGCCTCCCGTCCCCGGCTGCCCGTCCCGGGCGGGCGGCACGCWGGGACACCCGCTGTACGGGAATGCCGCAACCAGGTTAATCACATCCCTCCTCTCCGCATCCCTCCCTCCCMGCTTTCCCCTCGCCCCCTCCCCTTACACTTTTCACGGGCTTTGGAGGGGTTTTTGCAAACTTTYGCCTATCCATTGAATCCGCTTCTCTACCTTCCAGCCTTGAAGGCGACAAGAAAAACCCCAAACTTGTATCGGGAACAGTAATCTCATTTGCAAAGAAAAATCCCTGGAATGGGGACTCATTGTAACGCCTTTGGGCAGCAGACCCAACTGCTGGGCTATTTCAATAAAGGAGCGAACTGCAGCAGACCGCCAGTTGGCTCCTCCAGCACAGTTCTCCTAAATCATGATAGACAGATTGCGTGAAAAACAGGAATTCCAAAGAATTTCCTGCCCTGGGAACAGAAGTTAAGGCTATATTTAACAACATCTGAAGCTGTCAAGAATGCTTTGTGGTTGGATAACAGAGCAGAAAAATGTGAAAAATGCGGACTACTGCTATACCAAATATGGAAATATTGTTACGTCTGGGGTCCAAATCCCATCTGGAAGTACTTACAGCCAGGAAAAGAAAAGACGCCACAACAGAAGCTAAAGCTCTCCTCCCTATCCCCAAATATTAAACTTCAACGAGGCAATGCAATTTAAGGGCGCTCAACTCGAGTGAGGGACACTGAACCAGGGGATACACGGGCTGACGGGGATGGGGGGCGGGGGGTGTCACTGCGTGGCCATCCCGTTCCTGGCCTGGAAACAGAGCCCCTSGGTACCGCCGGGCATCGCCAGGCTCCCGGGCTCTGGCAGTCGTTTGCATTCTCGCTCGCACAGCAGCAGCAGCAGCACGGAGCGAGCCCCGGCACGGCCGGCTGATCCCTGGGGCAATGTCACAGCGCGGGGTTGAGGCGGGCGCTCCCGGCGGGCCGGGGAGCTCCCCCGCTGCCGCCCGCGCAGGTGGCTGGTCGCGGGGCGCCACCGGCACATCCCCGGGTGCGAACGGTCCCTCCGGGTGACACTCTCGCGCTCGGGCGCATCCGTGCGGGGAGCGGGGAGCCGAGCAGGGGCCGGGGCCGGGGCCGGGGCCGGGACCCCCCGCGGTAGCGCCGGCGGCCGCGGTGCCGGGAGACGGGCGGGGCGGGGCGGCCGCGGCGCGCGCCAGCCGCATTCCTGGGATGCCGCGAGCGCTGGACGCGGCCGCGGCCCGGAACGCGCGACGTCAGCGCAGCGGCGCACACCACGGCCCCGCGCCCTATATAAGGGGTGGCGCCCGCCGCCGCCTCAGACCGCGCCGGCCGCGCTCCCGCTCCGCGCTCTCACGGGCTCTCGCTGCACCGGCGCTGGACATGGGCTCCGCGGGCACCCGTCCCGCTCTGGCGGCCGCTCTCCTCTGCCTGGCCCGCCTGGTAAGTGCCGCGGTTCTYGCCGCGGTCCGGGAGAGGGAGGGAGAGGAGGCGGGTCGGGTGGCTCCGCTCGGCTCCCGGCGCTCACCGGACGCTCCGCTCCGCTCCGCAGGCTCTGGGCTCGCCCTGCCCCGCCGTGTGCCAGTGCCCGGCGGCCGCGCCGCAGTGCGCCCCGGGCGTGGGGCTGGTGCCGGACGGCTGCGGCTGCTGCAAGGTCTGCGCCAAGCAGCTGAACGAGGACTGCAGCCGATCGCAGCCCTGCGACCACACCAAGGGCTTGGAGTGCAACTTCGGGGCCAGCCCCGCCGCCCTGAAGGGCATCTGCAGAGGTAAGCGGCGACCCCGCTCCCCCGGGACGGACCCCGCGCCCCGCGGTGCCGGGGTTCGGTAATTTCGAGCCCATGTATGGTTATGCTTTGTTGTCGGTAGCTTGGCAGAAAGGCACATGACTTCAGCAGTCTGGAATGCGATTCAGTATGTCTGGGCTCCGCTAAACGCACATAAGGAAAAGTGATTCCTGACTAAGTTATTGTTCTGGCCCCGCGTCCCCGGGGGGTTGTAGGGAGCTCCGCCGTACATTGAGTTTAACAGACCAGCAAATACCTGCGCTTAAACCAGCGATTCCCGCCGCTTACCTCCTTCTTTCCCTTCCTGTTGATCTCTGCAGCACAGTCTGAAGGAAGACCATGTGAATATAACTCCAAAATCTACCAGAACGGCGAGAGCTTCCAGCCGAACTGTAAACACCAGTGTACGTGCATAGATGGAGCTGTGGGCTGCATCCCGCTCTGCCCGCAGGAGCTCTCTCTTCCCAACCTGGGCTGCTCCAGCCCCAGGCTGGTCAAAGTCCCCGGGCAGTGCTGCGAGGAATGGGTCTGTGACGAAAGCAAGGATGCGCTTGAGGAGCTGGAAGGCTTTTTCAGCAAAGAGTTTGGTCCAGACGATTCCGAAGGCGAACTAACCAGGAACAATGAGCTAATTGCCATTGTGAAGGGAGGCCTGAAAATGCTACCTGGTGAGTGTGGGTTTATCTGGGTGACAGTTAAGGGTAGGAGGTCAGAGGGTGGCTGTAAGACTCCTTAGATGCCAAGGGAAAGCAAGAAACAAAGTGAGAGGATATACTTAGACTAACCCCTCCTTTTCTTTATAGTTTTTGGATCCGAGCCGCAAAGCCGAGCTTTTGAGAATCCCAAATGCATTGTGCAAACAACCTCTTGGTCCCAGTGCTCGAAGACGTGTGGAACTGGCATCTCCACGAGGGTGACAAACGACAATCCTGACTGCAAGCTCATCAAAGAGACCAGGATATGTGAAGTGAGACCATGTGGCCAGCCCAGCTATGCCTCCCTAAAGGTAAATACAGATTCTTCTGGTGTTCCTCTTCTTTCTAAGCTGCTTCAGGTAGGGGGTAAAGGCTGGAAAAGAATCTCCTGCTAATAATGTTATTAACTTTCCTCTACAGAAGGGAAAAAAATGCACAAAGACAAGGAAGTCCCCCTCCCCAGTGAAGTTTACTTACGCTGGATGCTCCAGTGTGAAGAAGTACCGCCCCAAGTACTGTGGCTCCTGCGTGGATGGCAGGTGCTGCACACCCCAGCAGACCAGGACTGTCAAGGTCAGGTTCCGCTGCGATGACGGGGAAACCTTCACCAAGAGTGTCATGATGATCCAGTCGTGCCGATGCAACTACAACTGTCCGCATGCAAACGAAGCCTATCCCTACTACAGACTGGTCAACGACATTCATAAATTTAGGGACTGAGTTGTGTTGGGGGTGGGATGCAAAACAGAATTTTGAAGTACCCAGCCATGGAGAAAGGACCTTTGATGGAAATGGTGCCTTGCCCATTTGAGGGCAACATCGAGATGTTACAGGAGTGCACTGTGCAACTGGACACTAATGCAACAGAGATTTTAAGCATACTTAAAGCTTCATAGTACTGGAGCAACTTTACTGCTTCTTTTTGGAGCACCTTATCTAATTATATACTGTTTTCTGTTTGTAAGTGATAAATGTTTTGTTCCGGTTATGAAAACTTTTCTATCCTGTTCAATTTAACACTATGCTTCTCCCTCTCCCTCCAATCTTTTCCCACCCTTTCCCAACTAAGTTGGAAGTTACATTCCTTCCTGAGGTGGGCACTTGTGGGGTGTTCACAGTGGCAGCTATTATGTACCAACTGTAGTTTTATGGCAAACAGAAATCAGTTGTTTTAAAGCTGAGTATTTTATTTATCAAACAGTAGCTTTTTGTTTGTTTGTTTTTTTTTCTCTGAGTTTTTTTATCCCTTCCAGCCCCTGTAATACTGGAATAAGTTGTAAATGATTTTAATTTTATATTCAATGAATTAAAAGAATTTATTTATGGAATTAATCATTTAATAAAGAAATATTTACCTAACTACTYTTAGTAGAGCATTCTSATAGGCAACAGACTTAAATATAGCAAATGCAAGATGTTTCTGTGAAAACTTTGAATTCTGAAAAGTTTATATTCTCTTACAGTTCTACTGTAAGCAATGGATTAAAAAGCAAAGTGTAATTCTTTGGTAAATGATGTTTTGAAGGGGTGTCTGCAGTCTGCAACCTGASGCTCTAAAAAGTATACACAGAAAGAACTTGGTGCTGAATGCAAATCTTTGATAGACTGAAATGTTAATTAGACTGTCAGATTATTCAAACTGTCCTGGAATTTGCAACATAAGGTACTTCATTAGAATGCAGTGCATGCACGGTGATGTTGAACATTGGTTGGAAGTGGTCGTCAGGTCTCACGTTTTTTTGGTGGCTGCTTTTTGCAAATTACACATTTCTGTGGCAGAGGAATGCTTCCTACAGGCTGCAGGAGGTAGTTTGCTTTCACTAAATTCAAATTAAATGAGCTTGAAGCAATGACTTTTGTTAATCCTAATAACCCAGTGATGAAAAGTAAACATACTGTTAACAAGAGAAGAATGTGAGGAATTTCAAGTACTTGTCCAATAGAGTAGAAAGCAAGGGAGCTACTTTTTCCCTCACTTCCCACTTTTTAAATACGCAATTAMACTTTACTCTGTGGGACACAGATGACATTTGGCTAAGCAAGGGAGTTGGCAAGCAGTAAGAAAAATTACATTTAAAAAAATGAACTAGAGCCAGATCTGAGAAAGCATYCACCATTGTACTCTTCTGGTTAGCCTAAAGCTGTGCTACAGATGAGAGTGAAAGGAAACGTGCAAAAGGGTATTATTTTCTTCTCTTTGTGTGGGTGTTTCTCTGTCAAAATATTCTCCTACAATCTTCAGTAAGAAAGATACTGCTCATAAAAACCAGAGACTCATTTTGAGGTTTTACAGTTGTAAAGGGGTGTCATCCAGTGTCATTAGTTAAAAGCAGAATTGGTTAAGGGTCAAATTTTTATTAATTAGACATAAATATCTCAATAAAATAAATAGCCAAATATCTCAGAAGCTTATCTCTGGCAGCTAATGCTTTGCCTGAGAAATTACAGCCCTCCCTGTTTGCTCAGTCAAGTTTTCTCCCTGAAGGCATTCAAAAGTTGAGCTTGGTTTTGGAATTCACCACCTGGCCACCAGTCTCAGCTGTAACTAAACTTGTCTGTACAGTATTTGTTGACAACAAAAGTGTAAAGCACAAAGAAGCACTTTTGTTTGGCCTCTATGTGGATGGAACACTGAACACTTCACTACATGGGCTGCTCGCTGAGAAACCACCAGGTTTCCATGTCGGGTTATTGCAGGGAGAGGAGGGATTCACTGCTCCTAGACACCCGGCAGCTGCAGGCACATTCCTCGCCATCCCCACTGTCACCTACACTTGAATGACATCCATCTCCACACCARCGTAAGTAACAGCTCCCCAACAATCACATGGATGTGTAACTACACTCTATGTACACAGAGACCGTACCTGTAACACATCACAGACCAACAGCGACCCTGCCGACTCCTGCCTAAAATGTGGCTCTAGCCAGGCCCTGGGGTTCACAACCTGCTCTTTGGTTTTTCTGTTTTCCCAAGTAAAGAGGTGATTCTGTATTCTGCTTACTGGAAAAATCTACTGTTGGGAGAACAAGGGCTGCAGAGGCAAGTCTGATAAACATAAGAGTAAAATACACTAAGTGAAATTATCCTGATACAAAGGGAGTAAAATGAATCCCACTTAAAAAAACCTGCAAGTCTTCCAAAGWGGGGCTGTCACACCAACTGATCATCATCCATATAGCCCTCTCTTCTATTTTGCATTTCACAATTACATGACAAAGCTACTTTTACAACACTACATAAGGAATCACTGTCATTTTTTATGTCATCTTTGCTCTTGCTTTGAAACCTTTATATCCTCTGTTGTTCCAGCAGAATAAAAAAACCCTAAATAGTAGGTGTGGATATATAAGGGACCAAAAGGTCAGGTTCCATGAAGTGCAGCAGCAGGGCTTACAAGTAATGTAATGAGCACAACTGTAATTGTATTTCTTGTCAGTAACTACAAAAATCAATATCCTGCTTCCAGAGGAATACTAGGAGATGAAGAGTTAGGATCATGATAARCMATGTACATGACAAGACGCTGTGCATTTGGAGCGAATTTGAACCCTGAAAGTAAAGCCAYCAGCACCRTGTGGAGCTCCTKGGAGCCAGGCAGAGCCGGGGGAGCTGGRGAAGGCAGCAGGGAGAGYGGCTCCAGCACAGGCTCCAGCAGCAGCCCCTCTGCAGCAGCCCTGCCCCAGCCATCTTCTGGCCGCTCTCCTGGCTGCCCCGGTGCTTCGGCTGCTCCTTCCCAGCACTGGCACGCCGCACCGGGACGGGGCACTCGGCCGAATCCGCTGCTGCCGCCACAAGGAGCGTTTCTCACACTACAGGTTTAGGATGGAAGGAATGCGGAGCCTTGTATTGCACGCGCTTATTATTTACAATGGCTTGATGGTGGCTGTAGTATCAAGGTCACACATCAAATCTTCCCTACTACTGAAGACAACACAGAGAAGACAAAGTTTCAGCTTCTGTAAGTGCTCCATGACAGGAAACGAAGGCAGGAACACACAAGACAGTGTGACTACAAGTGACTACACTAGGTCCTCGTGGGATGAGGCCAGCTCGCTCTCCCGAAACAGCAACGGGTGGAGGAAAAGCTGTACTGACAGTGGGACAACCGAGCAACCCTCGTGGTGCTGAGAATGTCTGTATCCACACATTAATGAGTGCAGAGCCCACGGCACAGCCCACGGCACATCAGCTCCCCGGGCTGCCTGACCCTCCAGAGGACACTGTCTGGGAACAGGCCCRTCTCCCTGCTACTCATGGGCAGCCACTGGGCTGTGCAGGAAGAGGCAGTGACCCTGTGATCAGTGGGTTTGCTGGAGGAGGATTTCCAGTCCACTGAACCGGCATGAATCTGTCACAAGTCTTGAGGACTGAAACAAAAACGTTTGCAGCAGGCAGTCATTCACGGCTGGAAGTCAAACCTACCTACCTATACAGAAGCAGTTAAATGTGTCACACCAGAGGCTTGCTCTTGCCAGATGCTTGCCCTTGCGAGCTGATCCTGCAGAAATGCACGTGCACAATTTAGCTCACTTGTTTAATCAGTGAAACTATTTCGATGCAAGGCTCCAAGTGCTCAGCACACAGCAAGGGAAGGCTGTAGTTTTACCAGCTGCTCTGCCTTAAGCCAGTTTCTTTCATGTAGACATGTACCCCTTTTCGCCTTCAGTTTGCTCCTTTGTATCACATAGCCACAAATAAAACAGCACACAGAAATATGGAGGTGTCAGACTGAAAGCAGTAACATAAAACTAGCTTTGGAGATACCTAGAAATGCACTCCGACGCACAGACAACAAATGCAGTGAGACTTGGAATCTAGAAACTATAAATCCTGCAAAAAATTACTCCAACCAACAAAATGATACAGTAAGCATCTGTCTGTCATCCTGCAAAGACCAAACACCAAGAAACTGAATAGACGGCATCCACTATGCTACAGTTTTCCCCCCATAAAATGACATASAGTTTCTTCCATGTACACAATTTATATTGGAGAAGATCCTGAAAGACCCGAAGGCACCATTCACATAAGCAACTTCATTTCTCTTGAAGTACAACCACTTAGGGGATGGAATGTTAGCAACCATCCAGGAGGAAAACATTACACAATCTTTTGTAAGTTTGCATTTACTAGACAGAAGAAATTCATAGGTAGGGTACACACATTCACCCAGATGGGAATCCAGCTGGGATATGTATACTAACAACTTCACCTTCTGACAAATGCAGTTTTAATCAGAATATACCAGCCAAAGTCAAAGGCACCAGTTTCTCTGAAACTACTCATGTTCTTCAGCATCTCAAATCAACCAGGCTAGATCCTACTCAGCTCACTGACTCGAAAAAATCAGACAYCAAGGTGTCATGGCTGTAAAACCAGCAAGTCTCTTAAGAACTTGAAACAGGAAAATGTATTTTTCTCTACARAGGCAGATACTTGTGCTGTAGTGGAACAATGCCACTAAAATCAATATGGATGCCCAAACACAGMTGAAAATAGAGGTTGGGTCAACAAGATACCACTGAAATGCCAAGTTGGAAGGGACAAAACAGTATCACCGAGTCCCACTCTGGGCCCTGTGCAGGAAACTCCAAGACTCACACCTGAGTATCAAAGGTGCTGTGACSACTTCMCTGGGGAGCCTGTTCCAGTCCCCAGCCACCCTGTGGGTGAAGAAACTTTTCCTGATATCCAACCTAAACTTCCCCTGACACAGGTTCCCACTGTTTCCTTGAGTCTTGTCACTGGTTACCTCACAGAAGACATCAGTGCCTGTCTCTCCTSTTYCCCTCATGAGGAAGTTGTAGCTGCAGTGAGGTCCCCCCTCAGTCCCCTCCAGGCTGAACAGACCMAGTGCCCTCAGYCRCTCCTCACGGCTTCCCCTCAAGGCCCTGCACCACCTTTGCTGCCCTCCTTTGGATGTTCTCCAGTAGTTTAATGCCTTTCTTATATTGTGGCACCCAAAACTGCCCCCAGCACTGGAGGTGAGGCTGCCCCAGGGCAGAGCAGAGCAGGACAATCCCCTCCCTTCCCAGCTGGCAATAGTGTGCCTGATACCCCCAGAACTGACAGTGTGCCTGATACCCCCAGAACTGACAGTGTGCCTGATAACCCCAGGGCTGCCTCTCCTGGCTATGTCAAAGTGATGGGGACTTCTTGGTCAGCTTTTAATGCCACACACCCATTCTTTTTTACTAGTATCTACACCTCATCCACTGACACTTTACCCCACTTTAGCATAGCTCTACTCCCTATATGCACTCTTGGAAAAACAGACAAGTTTTGGAGCTACAATACAGACCCAGGAGAGAAGCGGGAAGCAAGGAGTGGGAAAGGCAAAAGCAGCTTTCACAGTCATTTCCTCCTTCTCCATGAAGCAGAACAGGGATGATAGGAAGAAAGTAGCAATGTGATTTTTAAAAACACTTTTGCTTTTCCATCAGCTGGAATGATGCAGGAAGCAGTCAGCTCCCAGTATAGTAATTTAATCTCCTTCTCCCTTCTCATTTCTATTCCTCCTTCTCTGGCAGATTATTTTGAAATCATTCTGATTTGTCATGAAACCACACAAACAGCTGTATTGATGCAGCTGATGCAAAAAGAAGTCTCATGCAAATGGATTAGATAAAGACCTACTGTTCCAGTTAAAAAATAAGGAATTAAAGGARCCATTTCTGTCATGAGTTCACAAAGACATCCCCTTACCCCAAAGGTAGGCAAAGCTCTAGTGGCTTTCCATACTTTATAACCCTATTGATGTTTCCTGCCAAAAGGCCTGCTTTCAGCCTAGTAAGATAGCCTGAAAATGCTTTCCTGCAGGAAAAGTTAGCAGAAGTGAAATAGGACCAAGCCAGGGGAACTTCGCTTCCAAAGCAACAACAAAAAAKCAACAATGCACAGGGCCATTGMGGGAAAGAAGCTCTTACAACAAAAGCATCACTAGAGCAAAGTCAGTGCACTGTGGATCTCTGAGACCTGCTGGGGCACACTGAGAACACACTTCTGTTCATATGACAAGACAGACAGACAGCAAAACAACTCTGTCTTTTTACCTGGTTTTACATGTCATCTGTAACTTCCCTTTCATTTATTTTGAGTTATTTTTGCTGCCATTTCTTGTCTTGCATACATGTGACTTCTTTCCATTTCACCACAGATTTCTAGCAAATAAAACCATATGCACTGCCATAGCAACATTTTAATACAAACACAGTTCTTTGTTCTCAGAAGTATACAGTTCATTTCTTTTTCTCTTATTAACAGAACCTGCATCTGCATACAGTTTAATTGAATGTCATAGCAACAACATAAACATAAATTCAAGATATTTTTTCCTTTGGAGGGCGGAAGAATAAATGTTTTCAGGAAAATARTGTGGGACTAAAAGCAGAATGTTTGTGACTAAACAGAGTCTGAAGTTACATCATCACAGCTGTATATTTACCCGTGGAAAGCCTGCTCTTGTATGGTGTTATACATTCTCAGCTCCTACAGATGTCAACAGAGCACAGTTGGATCTGGCAGGGCAAGGACTGAATCCCAGCTATGCTCATACACAACACGTAGCTTGGACCTATTATCAGCACYCCCATGAACTTAGAAATCCATGTACAGCTTCAGACTAGAGCTCACTTTCTGCACTGTAAATTTAGAGATTTTCCCTAAGCAGAGTAAAACTGCACTGTTGACTGGAGTAACAAAAACTGGTCCAGCATTTCTCTGAAGACCAGTGCCAGCCACAGATTCTGTGGCATGACCCCTCTTTTCCTCTACGGATCAACAATTCCTAATGCCAAGATAAATGCAGCAAAACTTAGAATTTGAATGTGTTCATTCAAAACTGAGCTGTTACACTGAGAGGGGGCAGAACGTTGTTTACCCATGACAACTCAATTATGCCTCATACCCCCAGGAAGTTATACAAAAAAGGAAAAGAACCAAGTTCTCTCCCATGGCTGACTCAGTCCTGCCTCCCAACTATTGCTGTGTGCTTAGCTATGCTCTATTTTTGTCCTTTAAGGTTTGTGAAAGGGATGACATCATTAAGCTTTTAATTTTTTTAAGCAGTGTGTTCATTCAAGACAAGAGCCTTTACTCTTTGTAAGCTGATAGTCCTTCAGCTCAAGCATGCTGAAAAGTCCAAACATTAAAAGAAATGCTGTAACAACGCTACACAGAAATAGCTTGTTCCTTCTGTGACAAATAGTTCTTAGAGGAAAATAAATGAGTAAGCATAGTAGGCACAAAATCAAGCACTCAGGGCAAGCTGGTGTTCAATGACAAAGATTAAAACATCACACACTTTTCATTCACAGACATGRTCTGTTCTGAATCAAGGCAGACTCCTGTAGGGATCTCTGTGTAAYATGACTACAATACTATGTTCTCAAAATGGACATAACTGAAGCTTTCAAGGCAGCCTCAACTCCGTATCTCAAATTTCTAGTGCTTGACCAGAATTTCAAATATATAGAAGATGCTTTTTCTCTCTTCAGTTTATTACAAGGTGCTTGTTCCAGGTTAAGTCACTCAGAGAGAAATAAAAAACTTTCCTTARCTGCCTATGAACCTGGTAAGAAACATCAGCCTAGCCAAAGAGTGCATAAACTTAGATTAAATCAGTAACCTCATTATTATGAATTACCACTAACATGAAGAATTTGGATTTCTTATTWTAAAGAAAAATTGAAAAAGCTTAGGAAAACAGAATAAAATATCTGATATGCATTTCAGTTTGTATTTGATGAATCACCTTTATTCAAACTAGTTTAACTGTAAAAATAGGAAAGTAGTAACCTAGGAATGAATGGCAAATGCTACCATGGCTTCAGTTTGAYTGAACTCTGGAAGATGATTCCCAGCTTCATCTGAGAAGTTCTAGTAACCACCAAAGGAATGCTCCTCAATCATTTTTAAAGCCTTCTTTAAGGTAGAGAAGGATTTAAATCTGAAGGATAGCTTTAACAGCATCTTCATTTAAAAACAAATTATGTTGTCTTTGATTCACAAAGAAGCTTAAAGTAGATTTATGTAAGAAAAGAAACCCCCACAGGCAAACCCTTTCGTACAATTAATGAAAACCCCCAAGAGCACAGGAAAGTAATGCAAATCAGAAATCTGTGCTCCTCAGCCGAAGACTAATCACACACACATGCAGATCAACACTAGTATTTGCAGCACTCTTATTGTTACTGTGCTATGAATACAACACAAATGCCATGCTTTTACTCCAGATAAAACATTTTYTGGCAAATGAACTGTGGCAGTTTTGCTGCTCTGCTCTTTTACTGGTATTACTATGAATGAGTTCAAGACTGCTCTAAAGTAATTTGTGGCTACCAAGTCAGTGTGCAGCAATCACTGATTAGGAAAAGCTTATTCACTTTCATTGAACTGAAAAAATATGAAAGCAGCACCTATAGCTAAGAATTTTGGTCCTTTAAAAAGGGTTAAAAAAACAAATGTTGAAACAAGAGGTGGGCAGAGGACCAACAATGACTAAGAAAGAAAATAGAGCACAGGTGGCTACTGCCAGGCAAAAAGAAAAACTTTCCTGTTTTACCAGAGGTTACAAAACACACAAGACAAAGGACACAYGATACCACCAGGAGAAAAAGTAGTGTGAGACTACAAAGGTCTGAYGCTCTGTCCAAATGTCAGTAGTGAGATGTCCTGGCAAACAACTTTTTAACTGCAATTTCTTTGGRAAGGGAATAAAACTTCAAACATCTCAAAAAACCCCTCCATGCAGCRTGACTGCTGAGGACCCAGCAGCCTGGAGCCCTGAAGCCCAGACTGAGAGCCTGGAAGCCTGAGCTTTCTCCTGTACTGCTGCCACAGCCTCCTGTTACCTCCACAAGTTCCTTCACTGCTTTCTATTGTGTTTCTACCTACAATATCAGCACWGGCTGAAGAACATACATGACTGATRTATCATCCTCACAGCAACTCAGCACACACCCCAGGCYACCACACACAAAGGTGCTTGTCTCCAGCTGAAGACAGAGACCRGGGAACTACAAAGGCAGCAACAACCTCAGAGAGCTCTTTAGAGTGATTATGTCCTGAAGACTTTACAAACGCTGGCTTGGCCACACTCTTGCAAAACTAAAGTGAAGGCTGATGCTGATTGCTGAGAATGCCCTGGTGCAATGAGGAGAGGGGCTCACCTGACTTGCACTGCCTGTGGCATTCCTGTTCCCATCCTCCAACACACCCCACAGGCACGGGGGACTTGGATACAGGGGTAAGTGGTCTGTGATCTAGGAACCTTCTCAGAATTCAACAACTGTCAGCAGACAATACAATACAGGATTTTTTTTTCCTTTAYGATTTATTTAAGTAGGTAAATATAGCTGATATGCCAGTAAGTATTTACAATACCTAACTTCTGTAGGTACTAGGAATATGAGATGCGTAACACAAGCATTCTATAAAAGTCCAGCATTATTTGCATTACTGCCAGTCTGTGCATCCATTTCCATGGATTTTAAAATCCATGCTAATTTAGAAGATCTGGAGAGAAGACTGAAAACACAGCAACATGCCACCCTGAAAACACAGTCTGACCTGTCCATTAAAACATGAAATAAGATGCAACTAAGTAGGGAACAAAAAAAAAAGTTTAAGTATTGCACCAAGCACCCAAAATGTCTCCAGAGAAAATTAAAGTCGAAAGTAACATAAGACCATTTTCAGCAGCTTAGTGTTACACAGAACAGTGTGTAACAGTAAAAGGAAAAYTGATCTAATGAAACAACTGTGCTTTTTTTCCCCCAGTAAATGTAAGCATTAAGACTCAAATCCACATATAAATACAAATATGTGATCAGATATTTAAACCCAAAAATTTAGCACTGAGCTGGTTAGGGAAAAAGGAAAAAACACTGGTGCAATTAAAGACTGCAATTAGAATTTTTTTTTTCTTCTGGAACCACAATTCCCCATCTTTTTATTTACATCCCTAAATACGCATTATTAAAACCAAAAACAGTCAAGCACTTTGAGAGTGCTACCTTTAGCAAAGGGAGTTAAGCCAAATCTCTAGGAAGTTATTTGTATAAAAAAAATTTTAATTAAATAATTAAAAAAATAAAGGCTCATTGCACCCTCTTCTCTCAAAGAACTGTCATGAACTGTCCCGAATCTCCCCTTCTTCCACAGATGAAAGGGATGAGCTTTCACTGTCTGAGTTCTCTGCAGGTTCACTGCCATCTGAGGATATAGAACACAAAAACAAACATGCAATTAGTTTCAGCAATGTTGTCTGCTCATCAAAGAGAAACAGTTCCGTATCTTCTTTTCCTTTTAATCACACTTTCCTTTGGGACAGCTATTTCATGCGACATAACCAGTCTCATAACATGGGATAAAGCCCTGGATAGGACCTTGTTAAAGGAGAATGCAAGACAATGTTGAGGATTCCTTTTACCTTTTAAATTTTGGTCTTTCAGACAAGTAGGAAAGCAGAGTATTTATCCCCCACAAAACTCTTCATCTGCTGAAAATTTAACATTATTCTTTTGACTTGTTTTAAATATTATTTTCTGGGATGCTACACACATCTATCACAACTGTAATGAATTACAAATAATTTACACTTTTCTTAGCATTTCAGTTCACATGTGGAACTACAGAGAAATTCTAAATGGAAATGGAAAATGAAAATGATTTGTGCTTCTTCCACATGTTYCAGCATCCCAAAGAGCTATGYAAATCCATGAGCTAAGGCTGATGAGGCTCAAGGCGCACAGTAACTTGTGCTTTAGGGCATGGCTACTGGGCTCTGCTGAGATCATCTAGCAAAACTTCCATTTCCAAAACTGGTCTTCAGCCTCACACCCCATGGATCCTTCTTTAACAAGYACTGACCCTGGTCACCTTTCACTGAGGTCACCAAATGCCACTGGTTGGTGGCACTCAAGCAGCACAAAAATAAACTACAGCAAAGCAGGCCCATGATTCACTCTGCTCTCRTTGTTATTTTCAGTATTTGATCTATGAATTTAAAGATGTTTTTGAACATTTAGCACCAGAGRCTTCATTAAGAGAATGTTACCAAAAGGGAGCTGATGAAGTATAGTTCCTGTCTTGTCAAGATAAGTTCTACAGCTGGCAAACATGGATAATACACAGGACACAGTGTGCACCTGTAAARTTTCCAAGGAATTTGTTCAAGAAAATAGAAGCATTTCACCCAGAAACATCAGAGGTCACATTTTGTCTACATGAAATCTAGTGTATAATCAATTAACATTTATATGCCAGATATGTACTGAGTAATGCACAAAGTAAGGATTTTTTTTTTTGCCCCTAAGTCCTGTGAAAGCTTCTATAATCCCCTACTATCTTCAGCCATGACTGACCTTGTATGCTGAAATCAGAGCACCTGTAGTTTTTGCTATTAAGCAAGTCAAGCATCAAAACATCACATAAAAGAATGTGGCAATCTTCTGACTCACAGCGAAGTTCAACAGACAGATTTTAGCTTTACTTTTATCTGTTACAGTAAAATTTAGAAGGAATTATATACTGTCTTTACTCAAAAAAGAGCCTATCTGTATGGTGCTGATAGCATTACCTATAAATTAAGATTGCCCAAACCTCACCGTAACTGTCTGCAGTTTACTTATAATGTAAAATTTTAACCCTGTTTGTCAGTGGCAGTTTYCTTCATCAATCCTTATGAAGTTGAAAGTTTCAGCCAAAATACTTTGCCATTTTTGAAAAGAAGGATAAGAGCAAGGTTTCATACTCATTAAATCCTAGCAGTTTCTCTTTGAAGGTATCCAGCTCTAGCTCTCCCCCAGTCTTTGGGGGTTACTACTTAGATCTCGGGGAGAATGGTGATCTTTCCCCAGCATGTGCCTGTTGCTGTGGCTGCAAAAACTTGCCTCTGTTTTTCCTGGGGAAGGGGGTAGATCTGAGATCACTCAGTAAAGAAACTTCAGCAGTTCAATTCCCCCAAGACTTTGCTTCTTATTCTAGCCTGGGTCCCTGGCACMCAGGGTCAGCAGGGTTATGGCAGCCTGAGCCCCCATGCTCAGCAGACACTGCCAGACGTCCACGCATCAGAGTGGCAGCTGTTTGCCTGGAATGCAGAGGGAGGTCAGCCGGACAGGCGCTGCGAGTGGGACAAGTGTCCCTCCAGGCACACCAGGAGGCACAGAGGAAAGGCAGCATTGGTTGGAATAGGATAAGCAAGAGCAGGATGGATGGCTTGGGAGGAACAGGCTACTGATACAAACAGCCATACATGGCAAAGAAACTGGACTGCAAGAAACACAGAAGATGCTGTAGCAGAAAGGTCATTTCATAGGGGACAGGAAGGGGATAAAACACTTCTCTGATTACAAGAGACTTCTCCCTGGACAGTCTAGAGGTTAACCTAAGATTTGCACTCTCAGCAAATATCTGTGAATGCAACTACAAAAGCAACCTGAAAATATGTCGTTTTCTCCTATATTCTGTAAACATGACAAAAGAAGAGGTTTTTCATAGCAATCTTTTAGCTTCAAAAGAAAAATGTAAGACATATTGCTCATTTCTGACATTACTAGCAGGTATATCCTTAACTATTGTTTAAATAACTCAAATATCCAAGTATAACATAACAGAAAATAAATACATGCTCACCTTGGCCAAGGACCACCATGTCATTCTTCAATGTTTTCAAGACTACAAATAATGTTGGATACTCAATTATTACTTTGCCTTTCAGATTGTCTCGGAGGCTTCTACTGGCATCCAGTTCATTGTACCTTAAAAATAACAGGAAGTTTACTTTGGATTTTAGTATTAGCAAGGACATAATGTACATTTGCTGAGGGAAAAAAAAAGTAAAAGGCTTTCTGGTATTYCACATGATTTTCAGGTGATACCATGTCCAGAAGACCTATTTTATAATTCAGATTGCATATCGAGTTTTATTCTCCAACAACATACTTTTTTTTGACCCTCCTAATATCTAAACATAAGGAACAAAAGGAGAATGAAAGTCAAATTTTTTAAGGGTTGAAATGTTTTAGTATATCTTAATGAACATCTTTAGCACATCAGATATGGATATAGGGTTACCAAAGTTGATACATTTATCAAAATCTTATTCTAAATTACAAATAACATTTAATATTCCACTTGTGGGCTTTAAGAGTACAGGTTCAATTTATACGGTTAGTAGTGTACCTTATTTATCATGTTTGCTTATGAATTACTAGTGAAGTCCTGGGAAGATAAAATAAAAAGCTTATCTGAACAACTACTAAAGCACAGGTATACTGGAAGCACTTAGAGCTCTGTTTTTGTAGAAGAGAGACCCTTGTTCTGATACAGGAATATTGCAGCAGTAATCTCTAAAAGATGGTACAATAACCCTGTTATGCCAGAGCRAATCTCTGATTACAGCACCATCAGCAACAAGCTCCCTGTAGAAATCCCCATCTATGTTGTGCTCCTGAGGAACCTGACTTGGACAGGCATCCTTTCCCAGGAAAGGGCTCCTCTTCACCCCAGAGGGTGAAACCAGGTACATAACAAATGATACCACAGTAATGAAAAGTAAACTGGGCATCCTCTCCACAATTACTCTCTCAATGTTCTCACCCAGCTCTCTAACTAGAAACCTGGATGTGAGATTTTGGGGAAAGGAAGGGGTATTTCACAGGCCTCTCAAAGAGGGGCCCTGTTGCTTTCACTTGCTGTAACTGCGGCATCCAAAGGATGCTCTGATATTATTACACTGCAATCTGAGTTATGCAATTCTTTCTGTAAGTAGCATTATTAAATTACCACTAAGCTATTGTATCAGCTAAGGGCAAATGAAGTTCAAAACCAAAATATACTGTAGGCAGTACGTGGAGTATTTCCCATAGCTGCTCTACCTCCTCTGATCATTAACATATTATAAAGCTGTGTTTTCTTTTGCCAAAACCAACATGGGATAGGTGAAGGAAATTATATACTTTATGATTTACAATAACGTGTTATTAAAAGCAGTACACTGGGAGTCAGCACACAAGAAGAATATTGGAGGTAAACCAGGAACTCAGTTCCTGGGATTTAAGGGAAACTTAGTTGGAGCAAAAATTCTTTCATATTCAACTTCAAATCATCATGAAAATATTTGGTTTCATGTTTCTCTCAAGCCATAGTAATTATGACCTCTTCTTACTGAAATCCTTTAAAAGGGTTATCAGTATATTACATTTCTTATTGAATCAATGCATTCATAACTTGTGGATTAACACACATGAACTGAAACATATTTACTGCTTTATTTACAGTACTCTAAATGCAAAGTATGGCAATACCTTTCCCTTGGCAAGGACCTCAACACATTCCTTTCTGGTTAAGCAAACATTTACCACCAAGAGGCTAAAGTAATTCACATGCCACAATACACTTTCCATTATCTCATATTTTAGACAAAACATCTTTAGCGTCCAGCTTGGCATAGGATGAAACATTTGCACTTAAACCTATTTTATGATAGTAAATTACAGAAGTGTTAGATCACTGAGTCAGAGCTTTATTTTTTTTTGTTAAAGTAAATTTTATTGGTTGACAGTGACAGAGAAAACATCTAAATTTTTAATGCATAATGTGGGCTGTAAACTTCAGGAATAATATAACAAAGGAGCTTAATGCTTCTCTTATTTAACTTGTCTGTTACTGTCTGTGCTATCCAAAAGAACTCAGTCTACCACATTCTCTACTACATACACAAGTGCAAGTTGAGGTTTTCTGCTAATCCACCTGTCAGGCTCTTCCTCGACTGTGCATGCTTAAGAGAGCTCAAAAGAAAACATCAATTCCAAAGCTCCTGAGCAAGACTGATTTTTCAGGTTATCTCTGAAAGACCTTGTCATGATAAAAATGTTCCCAATTTCATCCCAGAACTAGAACAAAGTCATACACCAGAGGGTCAGAGGGTGAAAAATAGAGGCCTATGGGCAAAAGAAGACTGCCCTGTAGGATTTAACAAGAAGCTAACATACACACACACACACACACACACACACACACACACACAGACATGCACACACATTTTAAATTTTTACTTACGAAAAGGCTAGACCTGGTTCGGAGAAAAATGAAATGAAATTGCCTTTTCACAAGTCTTGTAACTTCCTGCAGTGATTATGCACGAGGACGAATTGAGGATGTGGAGTAACACTGGAATAGCAGACCTTTCCTTGTATGTACAGCAAACTGGTCTCACCACAAGCAGGAGATAGAACAGGGAGAACCTCACAATCAGACATTACCAGGTATCTTTTTATCACCACTTTTACCTATTTATTTTCTATCATTGGGTCTACGTAGCCTGCCTAGGAAGAAMCCATAAGGAGCCATAACCTTCTTCAAAACCATTGTTCACTGCACATTTCAGTGTACAACACAGTAAAATGAAGAACAACCAGCAGAACTGTATTCTTTTGCTTAGACTCTTCCATGCTCCAGGACCAGCTGCAGGAACCAACTTAACTGAGGCTGTCATCCTAAAACCCTTCATACCAGGCTGAATTTGAGATAAGTCTGGCTCCAAACTACCTGACCACACCAACAAAAAAATTGCCTTAACACCTATCTTCACAACTTTCTTTTAAACTCTCCCCCTGCTTTCTCTCTTTTCCCACTGCCCCATTCATAAGTTGTCTGCACTATGGCTTCCCAATCCCTGTATTCAGCAGGACTTCTCTTTGTATCTTCCCTCTCAATCTTCCTTCCTCCCTGGTATTTATTTTCCACRTATTTTCTCTCTCCCTTCCTTACATTCCCTCAGCCTCTCTGAACAACACCCACCATSTAATAAAGCACTTTCCTGATTATTTTCTTGCCCCAAGCAAAGCTTTATGCCCATGTCGCAAAGCAATAAATAGGCCTGAATATTTTCTTAATAAGAAATGACTCAATTTATAAGGACCACRAAGAGATGATCTTAGCAGGCAACAGCTTTTGATTTTAGCTGGAATGAAGTAACAGTAATTGCTTTTTGAAGAACCAAAATCAAATAGAATTTGCCTGCTAGCAGGCAGTTGAAAAGCCTACAAAAATTGTGACAATTGAGAAAATTTAACAAGATTCAGCAATCCCACATCAGTTCCCATATGRACTCTATGAAGAGTTCTGTTACCTTTTGCAAAATACTGAAATTCATGAAGCTGTGCACTTCTGATAGCATCWGTGAGTTCCTGCAAAGGCTGGTTTCACTATCTATAGTCATTCCACCACCTTCCAGGAATTCAATAATTCAGTCTCCTAATCTGTCTCCCACAGGCAGGAATGCCACATTAGGTCACTGCATCACAACAAGTTCCCCTCAAATGAGCCTGTGGCTATCAYTGCAGTGGCGTAACTCGTCTCCATGAATTCAGACAGCAGGAAATTCCCTGCTGATCAGGTTTTCCTGAATGTCATCTACCGGAACTCCGATTTTAATAATAAGAAAGAAAAATCTGCAATCTGGAATTAAAGATAAATTGTAACAATGTTATTTCTTTAGTTTAGTCCTCTAGACACTGAAAAGAGAACAAACAAGTTTTAGATATATACATAATTGTAAATATTACCAAAATGCCTATTTGTGTAATGACATTCATGATTTCCCTATGAGAGAGACCAGCTAAACTGCTTGCACATATTTTACACRAAGATGATTTTTCTTCCTAGAACTGAGTGGAAACATCGAGGTATTTACTTGGCATAACTCAGATACAATAAATCACGCTATCTATTTTGGGCCTAGTCCTAAAAATCCACAAACAAACCTAGGCTAACTTATGGGAAGAATGAAGGATTTTTTTTCACCAGACCAAAGAGGATAGCATTTTCTAGGTATCTGCATTTGCCTAGAAGGGGGCAAAGCCTGGGTACAGCATTTAAAGTCTCTCCCAAGCACTCATTGTGAAGTGCTGCAGTACAGCAAAGATAATAACTAACAGATGGACTTTCATTCCTAAGTGGTGAATAACTTCTTCGTGTGGTTATGATTTGGTGAACATGGAAGTAGGCAAATGCTCTCTTGAATTAGTTAGGAAAGTTGCAGAAAGCAAATAGAATGTATTGAAATAATGCACAATACTTATATTTGTCACTAGAATTCTGACATTCTAAAAAACCTAAACCAGTGAATTTTATTAGTCCAGACACATGCAAAAACTAGAAAACTCAATGAGGAAAAAAACCAGAGATTTTAGAAACAAAGAAACAAACAAATTATTTGCCATAACATTTCCTTTATAACTAACTCTTATCARCAGCGAAACAATATGAAGGAATACTCTGCCTCAACACTCTTCTAAAGAAAGAGAATGGGAACTTAGTTCAAGCTGATATTTTAATATGAAAAAAAAATACTACCATTTACAGAAGTATTTAAAACCGTCTACCCCTTTCTTCCACTCTTGGTTATGTTTCTTCTCCTGGTCTAGGACCTCCATGATTTGCCTCACCAAATGTTCACTAACCTCTCCTCTATATTATTGATACCTGCATAGTTTAATCAATACCAATACAGACCAGATGCTTGCCCAAAGCCTTTTCAAGTCAAATCCCCATCTTAAGTAAYATTTCCATCAAAAATATGTTTTTTCGGGGGGGGGGTGGGGGGTGGGCAGAAATTAGGACAAGAAACCTTCTCTTACTAACCATTTGGACCATAAGTCCTCCTACGAACCAACTAAAAAAGTACAGGAARAAAAGTTGCCAGCATACCAGGAAAGCCTCTTGGACATCATCACCATCTCCTAACAGCATCTAC